TCCCCACTGTATATATATACACACACAGGTGCATCTCAAAAAATTAGAATAACGTGAAAAAGTATTTTTTTTTTTGTAACTTATTTCAAAGAGTGAAACTTTCATATATTCTAGATTCATTACATGTAAAGTAAAACATTTCAAAAGTGTTTTGTTTTAATTTTGACGATTACATTTTACAGCTAATGAAAGTCAAAAATCCAGTATCTCAAAATATTAGAATATTTCCTAAGCAAAACAGAAAAGTTCAAGTTCTTTTAAAGTACGTTCATTTATGCACTCAATACTTGGTCGGGGCTCCTTTAGCACAAAATCCAGAATCAGTGGGGAGTGGGATGGAAGCGATCAGTGGCACTGCTGAGGCACTATTGAGCCTTCAGCTCATCTGTATTGTTCGATGGACTGTTTCTCACCTTTCTCTTGAAAATATCCCATAGATTCCATATGGGGTTCAGGTCAGGCATGCTGGCACATGCATCAAGCACAGTAATATCATGGTCAGCAAACCACTTGACTGTGAGCAGGTGCTAAAGTCCTGCTGGAAAAGGAAATCAGCATCTCCATAAAGCTTTTCAGCAGATGGAAGCATAAAGTGCTCCAAAATCTCCTGGTAGACAGCAGTATTGACTTTGGACTTGATATAACACAATGGACCAACACCAGCAGACGTCACGGCACCCCAAATCATCACTGACTTCGGAAACTTCACACTGAACTTGGTCGGGGCTCCTTTAGCACAAATAGCACAGCATTTTTAAAAATAATTTTTATTCTCACTGGTGATTCTCATTAATTTAACACAGTAAACACTAATCTAATAAAATGACTTTTTATTTTAAAAAGGCTGCTGTACTGCCCTTTTTTAAACAAAATGTAATTTTATTACTTTTTATATAGCTACAATTTAAATATTTTTTACACATCCATATTACTTTTTAATATTTTTATGATATCACTTTGACTATAATCTATAATCTAGTATCTCTATCTCTTTTATATATCTATGATAAATAATAAAAAAGATGGCATACAAATATCTTAATCAGTAATTCAGTACCGGGGTCTACAGCAGTGTAATGTGGAATTACTAACTGATGGAATTGCTGTATTATATCATAGTCTTTTAACATGTAGTTTGTATCCCAAAACACTCTGCTTTCATGCTGTCTACCTAAAACTGAATGACTTTAGAGAAAAGAGGCTCAAAATCGACATTTATCAACAACATAAAAAAGATAATTACTCATTCCAGCAGCTGAGAGATGTGTTTTAGTACCTTTTCTGAGCTGCAGGAGGAGTTTCCCTCTGAATAACTCCAGAGTGAGCGAGTGTCCGCTGTGCTCCTCCATGTAAACCAGCATCCCAGAGTTCAGCAGGGTTTTGAAGTTCATGGACAACACGTCTCTGTTTGATGGAGTGGTGCTGGGATCCGGCCTGAAGAGCAAGTGAGCGCTGCCATCAAAACTGACCACATCAGACTCTGAAAACACAGCAGAAACAAACACAAGAACTCGAGAGATCAGGCTGAACCGCTCAGAACCAGGCAGTACAAATGACTGATTTCCATTCTCGTTAACAAGGCTTCAACTGCATTCAGTAAATAAACTCTAATGAACTGCAACAAACATACAAACAAGCAAGCAAGCAAACAAACAATCAAACAAACAAATAAATAAATAATGAATTGCATAATAATGAACTCAAATAGATACATAGATAATGCATTACAGTAATTAAATAAAAATAAATAAATAAAATGAATTAAATAATAATGAAATAAAATTAATAATAGACAAAAATAAATAAGTAAATAATAGTGAAGAAAAATAAATAAATAATGTATTACAATTAAGAAATACATAAATACACTAAAATAAGTTAATAATAATAATGATATACCATTAAAATAAATTAATACAAATAAAAACAGAAATAATGAAATGAACTCAGAATAAATAAATAAATTAATTAATTAATAATGGACAATAATAGATAATAGTAATGAGCTAAAATAAATAAATAACAGTAATACATCAATAAATTAATAACCTAAAATAAACAATTACATAATTCAACAAATAACAAATATCAAATACACTGGAAATATCAATAAACAAATAAACAATAAACAAAAATCAAATACACTGGAAATTAAATAATGAACTATATTAAATAAATGCATTACACGTAAATGATAATGAACTAAAATAAATAAATAATGAACAATAATAAGAATAAGAAAATAATAATGAACTGAAATAAATAAGTATATATATATATTAACAAAGAAATACTATTGTATGTATGTATATATATATATATATATATATTTATGTATATATATATATATATATATATATACTGTATATTATATACATAAAACAATCTACAATTAAAATAATAATAATCTAAAACAAACAAATACATATTTAGATAATGAACTATAAATAAGGGACTATAATAAATAAATAATGAAATATAACAAATAAATATATAATGCACAATGGAGAAAGTTAAACAAACAAACAAAATGAATAAATAAAGATTCTGTGTGTGATGTTGATTTAGTGTAAGGTTAACTGCCTGAAGAGTGAAACACTGACTCTGAGACGCTTTCAAAACATTGATCTGTTTGTTTGTGTGGACTGACATGTCAACAAACCCCTGACTCTAACTATTAAACTCTTTTTATAATTTATAATTATAATTGGTGTTGCACACAGTGTTTGTGCAGCTCTATTGGCGCTCCTGATGTATTCAGGTACAGCAGCTTCACTAAATGGAGCAGAGAGAGTTTAAACCTGAGGTCAACAGAGATGATGCAAACGCCTGACACTGGACACAACCTGCAGATCCCAGCAATAAATTATACATCTGTATGAACGCAGGGAAAACACTCCATCCCTAATGGTCTGCTGTATTTACAGTATGAACATGGAAACAATCCAAACGCTGTTAATGCACTTGAGGCAAATAAACAATGTATTATGTTGACTGGAGGTTTTGCCCTGCAGTTCTGCCCCGTGTGACTGCAGCGACAACACATCTCACGCACAGGACCTCTGAGAGACCAGTCATACATCAGCCAGAGCACTGGGCTGCAGTCTGACTGAAAACCACTCGTCTGCTCTCAGATGATAACATATAACACGTGGCGTTTGGAGATGTGAAATTGTCATAGTATATATAGAGCACAGGCTGATCTGTAGCCTCATTAAGGTTGTAATCACAAAACTAAAAAGAAAGCATTAGATTAAAGGTAAACGGCACCAAACTGAAATTCAAAGCTAATGAGTCAAACACATATGCTAAACACGTCTTCTATTGGCTGCATAAACAGAGAGTACATTATCACATAGCCCCGCCTCTAAACTCACTCCATTGGTTGAGACAGTAGTTGAAATGAGATCAAACAGATCAATGTTTTGAGAGTGACACAGTGTTTTACTCTTCAGGAAGTCAAACTAGACATTTTGACAGTTCACAACTACATTTTTTTAATCATATTTAAATAAATACATATTCATAATTTGCAGGATTTAATTATTATTATTATTATTAGTAGTAGTAGTAGTAGTAGTAGTAGTAGCAGTAGTAGTCGAGGTAGTAGTAGTATACTGTTAAATTAATTTAATAACAACATATTTTAAATAATATTTAAATAAAATTCATAACAAGATTTTAAAATCAAATTTAAATAAATAAATAAACAATTAAATTGATTCATAACTTAAAAGATTAAATCATATTTTAACAAATACATTTATTTGTTTAAATATACACAAATTAATAAAAAATAAACATTTCATAATATGTAGGATTTTATTTTATTTTACACTTACACAAATAAATAAATTTGTTTAAATATACACATAAAATATTTTAAATCATATTTGAAATAAATCAAATTCATTCATATATAAATGGACAAATGAATGAATGAATAATATTAAATTAGTTTACATATTAACATAAAATATTTTAAATAATATTTAAATGAACTCAAAACATATAAAAGATTTTAAATCAAATTTAAATAAATATTCAAATCTTTAAAATACCATTTTGTTAAAATAAAAATACCATTTTTAAAATTCACATTTAAATGAATGAATAATAAATAATAAACCAGAATAAATTAATTTCATAACTTTTTTTCATAAATTTTATACATTTCATACATTTTATTTCATAACTTTTTTTTCATACATTTTTGTTTAATTTTAAATTAAACAAATCCAGAAATAAAAAAACATAACATTTTAATTTATATTTAAATGAATGAATGAATAAATAACAAACTATAATAAACTAATTTCATAATGAAACAAACATTTATTTTATTTATTTATTTTATATTTATATATTTATTTTAAATCATCTTTAAATAAATAACAAACTCCATGATATGAAATATTTTAAATCATATTTAAATAAATAAATAAATCTCATAATATGAAAGGTTTTAAATGAATAACTATAATATTAAATTTTTTTCATAAGATGAGCGCTGTCCAGTGGAATGTCAGTGTTGAACACGTACTGTATTGGCAACCGTAGGCCTCCAGTCTCAGGCCGATCCTGCCGTTGGGGTTCCAGTGGAGCGGCAGTATCCGGATGTACTGAGCGATGACGGGCTGCTGGAGTTTGTACATCACCACACTGTCAGCGTTCGAGTTCCCAGAGAAAGCCTTGAATAAGGAGAACACCAGCGTTACATGTGTGTGGTTTGACCTGATGCACTAATGCGCTCCTGCATCTTTTCTGTTTCCCATTGGATCATAAAGATGCCGATTGTCGATCCTGAACTTGGGTGGCAGGTGAAGAGACCAGTCTATAACTCACATTCAACATAATGTGAGCCAAGACCCTGTGGAGACCTGAGTGATCGGACATGGCCACGGGTCAGCGAGCAGCGCTTCTCTCCATCACATCACTGTATTAAAGGAAATCAATATAGCACTAACCCGCTGAACAAAACACTCATCGCACAACTAAAACTGGCTGGTTAGGCTGGACTAGGACCGGCCGAAGAATTGCCATGTATGTTTAGGCTGATATGTTTCTTATTGTGTTCAAAAAATAAAAAAAGAATAAATAAAAATCACAGCATATGTTTAGCACATAAACTGGACAAATAAATCAATGAAATAATATATATTTTTTATTATTATCATTAACATGAAGAAAAATTTATAATAACTAACATCCTAAAGCAACTTTTAGGTAGTGTTGAAATCAATGTGTTAAAATCTGTGCTATATATACAGTATATATATATATATATATATATTAGGGATGCACCGATTTACCGATTTATCGGTCGATTTTTGATTATTTTAAAGCCATCGGCATATCAGAAATAGCATGAAAAGGGCTGATACCGATGGTTTATTAATTAACTGCATGGAGACAACGAGTTGCATGTCTGTTGCATAATCCAACGTTTTTCTCTGGGCAAAATAATTAAATACTTGCCAAAACAAAATAAAATCTGTACAAAATAGTTTGTCAGACGGCATAGTACGGCCATATGCAAACGTGACGCTGACGCATCCAACCCGCGAAATGCCTGCTCTCAGCTGTAAATTTATCATAGGTAAGTCGCAATGGCAATGCACCGGCGTTAGAGTGTATCCGAGGATATGTCACTGTGATGGAGAGACTCTGAAATTGTCTTCCATCACTGTTTTCACTGTTAATGTTGGTTGCTTTTTGGCATTTCTTTGTCTAGCTAAGTGGGCGTAGCAATAGGAAGTGCAAACTAAGAAAAAGCGTTTAGCTTAACTAATGTAAATGTTGTATATCATAAGAGTCAAAGTCAAGAGTCTTTTATAAAAAAAAAATGGTATGTTCCAATTTGGGGAGAGCGGGAAAAAAATTTGTATAAAATGGGGGGGGGGGGACGGATAGAGTGCTTGGAACAAGATTGTAGTGCTGTGTAGCATGTGAAACTCCAGCCTCAATGTTGTAGAGGGGAGCTGGTACTGTTTTTAGTACTTGCAGTTTTAGTTTTAGACTGTTTTTATTACAATCTTTGTTTTAAGTCTTAAACCTATTTATGTGCACATTTTGCACATCTGATCTCAATAAACAACCCTTTGCACTCCAACTTCGCTATTGATCCTCCTGGTGACTGCTCGGGTCGTTATCGCAGTCACGAACCGCCAAGCATTAGGCCTACATTTAAGTGAAAATGAATGGCAGGTAATATGCAGCTTTTTGTTTGAAACCAGTGTAGAACACGGATTCCCACAACGTCACATCACGCACCTGCAGCATTTCTGTGAACGGAGAAAACAGAATAAAACTATATAGGCTACATAAAAAGGAATATATAGGCCTATACACAAAATATATTTCACTTAAATCATTAACAGATTAACAAAACGAAAGAAAAAATTGTGCCGAGTTTCAGATAATTGTAATGTGCTCTGAAGTTCACAGGGGGGAAAAAACGAGACGACAGAAAGCAGTTTTCTTTACTTTACAATAGCTTAACAGCTTTGAATGATGTTTTGCTTCTATCTGTATGACAAACCAGCGTTTGGTATGACCATAAATTACGGAGTAACAGTTGGGAAAACAATGCAGTGATCGCGTCGGTGCCTCACACGCACATACAACAATTTTTTGCTAATTTGACATCGTAGCCTGTTCATTATCAAAATAAAATACAGTTAAAGAAACATAAAAAGTTACACTGCTCAAATTAAATAGTCTGTAGTGTAAGGCATTTGCAAACATCACACAGATGAAAGAGGGAATCTCCGCATTCCACCTGGAAACTAACATCTCTTCTCAACCATCTGAGAGCCGTAAAGCTGAATCACGGTCAGCCAGGCGCCAATTGTCTCAAATGAGTTCCTGTCCAGCTCTGCTTATCTGTACAAGAAACACCAGGAGAGAGTGATTTACCAAACCACCTCCAGGGTCGACAAGCACTAGGACAGCAATAACTGGACCCCCCCCCCATCTAGACTCGTTTAAGCAACAGAATGTCAGTGTGTTTCGTGACCGGCTTCAGCATAAATAAACCAGCTAATAAACAACAGAACAAAGACATGGTATCTGGAAATGTTCCAGCGACAGAATCGCCCGGACCTCATGACCGTTTAACACATAAATTGATAATCCCGTCAACAAAAGAGACAATTTTAGAGCTCCCTGTCCAGCAGAAGGATGGCAGATCCACACTCGCTTGACATGGGCATGACCTCAGGACACCTCCCCTTTTCCCCCTGCATTCCAAAAGGGGATGCGTCCTTTTACTACTTTCCAGAAAAGCGTGCGTTTCTCCTGTCACAGACAAAGACAATTCATAATACAATAATTTAAAATCATTTAAAGTATCGGAGCAATATACGCCCAAATAATATGCTTTCTGTTTGATGTGTTATTGAAACCATGATATCTTAATCTTTGCATTATAACTTGTCCTTTTAGCTATTACGATTATTGTGTATGCAAAATACCTGTTATTTGAGCTTGAATGGAAGCTTATTTTATGTGAGAAACTTTGGTATGAAGGAGAAGTGAGAAGTATGTACAATACTCGCAGTAGGAAACTTTATAAAAGTATCAACCAAATCTTCGCAAAGAGTTTTCTCCACATAATAAATTGGAGCCTCTTGTTAATGTATGCACGCTCCGCCTTGCAATAATAATTAATTCCCTTACAAATGAGTTAATTTCTTACAGTAGTACAGTCTGTGCCATTCAGCATAACCACCGCCTCACTGTGCTGTTTAGTCTATATGTGAAGGATGATGTTTTACGTCGATAATGCGAGTGAAGAACAAAGCCTATAGTTTACATAATAAATAATAGGTTAGCATCCAGATACTTCTCGAATATGGAAACATTTGGATTCGTGCAGAATGAGAGAGGCAGGCTTCAGTTTCGTTTTTAAATTAATTCGTTTTGGCTTGACGCTTACATTTAGCCTAAATACAACTTTAGAGGATTTGTTGTGGAGAGAAGGGAACTAAAATAGCCTAATTGTGTTTGTAATTTTGCTTTTATTTACCATTATTTTAGCCTACATTATTTCTGAATGTAATAATAAAATGCAACGTACAGCCTACTAATTTAGGCAGTTTTTTACTCTCAAAACGCTTATAGGAGTAGCGTTTTTTTTTATCCATGCTGAAACATTTTTAAATATCTTGAAAAAAATTATTTACTGTTTTTATTGCATTGACAGTTTTTTCTTTTGTTTAATACATTTGGTCTTTGGTAAATCTAGAAAAGATGATACTGTATTGGCTATGACTAAGAGAGATCATTCAAGACTCTCTTCATGATTTTTTTTTCTATTTGAATAAATTAAACGCTGTACTTTATTATTATTATTATTGTTATTATTGGCAAAGAAAAAGTTTAAAAAATAACGTTATTAACCGGTATGTTTTCTACTCAAACCGGTTTCACAGAGGAATGCAGGAACAGAAATGTTCAAATACCGATTCTGTTCGGAGTGAACCAATCTTTTTTTTCTCTCTCGTTTTTAAGCCATGCTTTATGCAATTGACCAATATCGGTATCAGTATCGGCCAATAGTTGTTTGTTAAAATCGGTATCGGTATCGACCAAAAAAAAAATCCTATTTATATAGGATATATATTAGCATTGTCAATCGATTAAAAAATATTAACTAATTAATCGCACATTTTTTTCTGAAATTAATTGCGATTAATCCCACCTAACACTAGTTTTTACACCTAACATAAGTTTTTAAAAATATTCTTACATTGCAATAATTTCACATTCAATCTTCAAATGAATGTAGAAACAACATAAAGACCGTATATTCTTAATATGTGTGTATAATGGCATCTTTTTTTATGACTGAAGGCCAGTATCAGTCTGATGGCTCTATGAAATGGTTTTTCCCCTAATATTTAACCATTGATTAGCCATTCAACATTACAAGAGCTACCAATTTTAACATTTAACATTAAAAATAGAATGATAAAATATTTAAGATAGCGCATTGGAGGAGAATTATATTTATATTTTTGTATATTAATATATAAATATAATGTATAGTAACATAAATAGATAACATAATAAATGTAACTAAACTATAAATACTAAATATAAAATTATATAAAACAATTACACCCAAATTAAAATGACAAAATGTTTACATTATTAATTATGAAAAATATATAATCTACCTGTCAGCTGTTTAGGCTAAACACAAGTTGAATAACCACCAAAACCAGTGAAACACTAGCTTGGCCAATTTGAGAGGCCAGTCAGACCAGTGTAAACCAGCGAACACCAGCACAGCACCTCAGGCTGCTTTCATAGTCAGGGATTTTCCAGCTAAGGTCCCGCTGGCCATTTTAAGAGGCAAACTGAGGCAACAAGTACAGTTCTTGTGGATTATTTTGCAGGGAGGAGCGTTAATTTTGTCCTTATATCTGCCAGAGATGTCTGCAATTTGGAGTTTGTGGGCTCGGAGTAATTGGGAGCTGAGTAGTGCTCTCAGTGTGTTTGAAGGGATCAGCCGTCTGCTGGAGTGCAGCGTTAAGCCCAACAAATTGCTCTGTTTCCTGCTGAGGTGCAAATCCTCCAGCGCCAGGAGCGACAAGCTCTCGCTCTCACGAGAAAAAAAACACAGGCGCTCGCGTCTTCAACTCTAAACGCTTCTCCTTCTCGTGACAGACGGAGTCGTGACTAGCGCTTCTCACCGCAGACTGATGACGGATACAGACACAAAAACGGGTCTCAGGTCTGTTCTGACCTGTCACCGAACGCAGGAAAAAAACAGCACAGAATACTAATAATAACGTGCAACTATATAATCATGTAAATAAATTTGGGGTCAGTATGACTTTTTTAAAGTAAATCAATACTTAATTATCCAGCGAGGATGCATTAAATTGATCAAAAGTGACAGTAAAGACATTTATAATGTTACTATTTCAAATCAATGCTGATAGTAACAAATACTTTCAAATCAATGCTGTTCTTTGAACTTCTCTGTTCATCTATGAATCCTGAAAAATGAGATGTATCACGGTTTCCACAAAACTACAGGTGCATCTCAATAAATTAGAATGTCGTGGAAAAGTTCATTTATTTCAGTAATTCAACTCAAATTGTGAAACTTGTGTATTAAATCAATTCAATGCACACAGACTGAAGTAGTTTAAGTCTTTGGTTCTTTTAATTGTGATGATTTTGGCTCACATTTTGTTAAATGTGAGCCAAAATCATCACAATTAAAAGAACCAAAGACTTAAACTACTTCAGTAGTTGAATTTATTTAATAAACGAGTTTCACAATTTGAGTTGAATTACTGAAATAAATGAACTTTTCCATGACATTCTAATTTATTGAGATGCACCTGTATTGGGCAGCACACCTGTTTTCAATATTGATAATAATTAGACATGTTTCTAGAGCAGCAAATCAGCATATTAGACTGATTTCTGAAGGATCTTGTGACACTGAAGACTGAAGTAATGACGCTGAAAATTCAGCTGCAAATAAATTACATTTGAACATACATTCACATTGAAAACAGCTATTTTAAATCGGAATAATATTTCACAATCTTACAGATTTTAATGTATTTTTGATCAAATAAATGCAGCCTTGGTGAACAGAAGCTACTCTAATATATACAAAAAAAAATTTACCAAACCTAAAACTTTTGTTGTTGAGGTCAAATAACATTTTTGTTAATTTCTGTACAAAGCTGAATTTTGTTACTCAGTTTGGTCGTCAAATGTAGCCTAAATCCGCATCTTGAAGCAAAACTAGTTGGATGAATCAATAAATCTTAAGTGCAGACCTCACAGAACAGATTGCAGAGCATTTTGGCATTCAAACGTGAAGACGACAAAAGATGTGAAACTCAATAAGCATCTATTCTCTGAGTGTCAAAACTAAATAAACCCTCTCACACACTTAACAAGCTCATTTCAATAACACATTTAGCTAGTGTTGAACTCACTGGAGAGCCTGAGGAAGCGCAGATCTGTGCTTCTAAATCTGATTTAACATTACACATTGAAGAAAGAGAATTATATTCATATTTTTAAAATGTTTGTTGAATAAATAAATAAATAAATAATTGTAAAAAAAACAACTATAAATATTAAATATAAAATCATTAAAAAAAACATTTAATTCGAAACCAAGTTATAAAATATTTAAGGAGGAATATTATATTTACAATTTTACATTTATAATAAATATCTAAATAAATCAAATAAATAATAAATACATGTAAATAAACTATAAATACTAAATACAAAATATTACAAATTAATATTAAAAATAAAATGATAAAATATTTACATGTTGTCATTCAC